ATTCTCATTTACACGTTTATTTTTGCCACATTATGACCATTTTGCCATAAAATACTGTTGCCCTGCCAGCTTGCTCTTGACTATAGAAAGTTTTGTGCTTCTGGAATATTTTAAGAAAAGTGTTAAATTATTTAAACTAATTTTATGTCTAGTACTTCTGCCATGGATGGGTTTGTGGTGTCCTGTGTCCTGTTTGGCACACTCAGTGCATTAAAATTGAGTCTTCTCCAGGTGTTTACCTGCTTTTAGGTGCAGGGCTGGGGAGAGGGGCAGGAATGGGAAGCAGTGCCAGCAGGGGAAAGGAGGACAGATCCAGAATAGGTGAGAAGAGGAGGAGAACAAACTAGGGGATTGTTAAACATTCTGGCAAAGCAAGTCCTAACTGCCTGAGATTTTGTTTCTGAAATAAAATAAAATCAATAAAAGTAGATACCTTTTGAAATGTGTTTTATGTGCCTCAATTCCCTGCCTCTGAAATGGAGGTCACTTTGCTGCCTTCTCTCACAAGAATATTAGGAAAATGACACAGTTGGTATTTGTGAGCACAAGGGGTCGATGCAAGGAAGGGGAGCTTGGTGCTGAGTTTGAACCTAGGCTTTAGGAACAGTAGCAGGGGCTGGAAACAGAGGCAGGAGAAATGCAGGAATGTCAGGAGCAGGAATGAAGAGCTTGGCTGCAGAAAGCTGAGACTGGGGACTGCAGATAACCAGAGAAGAGACATTTTTGTGGTGAAAAGCAGTTGTGGGATGGAAGGCCTGGGAAAGGATTGGGATTGCCAATGTGAGCAAAATCATCCTGATTTCTGCCAGGCTGATCAGAGAAAGAGATCTTGAAAGGGATGGAGGTCAGAGCCTCAGAAATAGTGGACCAGAAGACATTTTGTGTTTAACTGGGACTTTAAATGTGATTATTTCTCTGTGGTCAGCAAATATCTGTGAAAATGTGGTGCTGGTATTCCAGAAGGATCACAGCCTGTTCATGCCATCACTTACTGCCTTAGCTCAAGTGACCACAATGTCCCTATTGGTACCAAAAATAAAGGCCAATTCCTTAACCTGTAGATGTCTGTATAGTGCCATGCAATTAATTTCTTGTTTGTTCATGGCTTAACATTTAGAATATTTTTTAATTGTGCTAATATACTTGTTAGGATTAATATTTTCAGCCATGTATAAGGGCACACAGAAAATTTCTCCACACAGAAAACACAAGGAATTATATTTTGAAATACCTGTGCAGGCTTTGTTCACAAGGAACATGTGTGTGTCCAGTGATTCTGATCTTAATGACAGGATAATATTCAGCTGTTTTCAAAGGACTCTGATGTGGTTTGTTGTTCAAAATAGGTCTGGTCTAAGGATGAATGTGGTATATGCAGTGAAATGTGCTTCTTGGAGAACCAGCAATTTTTTATAGTGTTTGAAAGTTGGGATTGTAGAGGGATGGATTGTAGAGGAAAGGATTGCAGGAGGAATGGTCTCATAACTAAGACGTGGAAGAATATCATAGAAGGTATGGTGTGTGTCTCAGCCAATACCACTGAACTTCTGTGTGGTCATGTTGCTTCAACACAGCATTTTTATTTCAATATTCTTGTGTCTCTTGCTTTCTGAGTGCCTGACTTGGGGATTCTTGAAGAAATACTAAGCACTCGGCTGCAAATGAAGTTAGCATTTGAACATGTGAAATTCTGTAAAATGCTAAACATCCTGGAAAAGCAAGTCCTAACTGCCTGAGATTCTGTTTCTGAAATTAGGAGATACCTTTTGCTAGGTGTTTTATTTGCCTCAATTCCCTGTCTCTCGAATGGAGGTAACTTTGCTGCCTTCTCTCACAAGGATATTAGGAAAATAACACAGTTGGTATTTGTGAAGCATTCAAGTGCTATGTACTGACATGTGCTATTGAAAAGCCATTCTGTCTTCAGAACAAGGTTTGAATAGTGTACAATAAATATGTCACAAAAGCTCAGAGTAAACAGTGACAAGAAAATAAAATACTGGATAGCCAGTCACTAAATGAGCACTGTGCATCCTCTTCCCTGAAGGAGATGGGAAAAGAGAGTATAAGATCTATATAATGAAATTCTGTATCATAACAAATACATCTGTAAAAGCCTAACTCACTTCCAATATCCAATCTAAAGATCTTGAATTTTTTAATTTTCCTATCTAAATCTTTGAAAATTTGTAAAAATTCGTCTATTTTCTGAAATAGACAGTATTATAGTAGTATATGTTCTAAAAGTATATATTTTTAATATATACACTATTATATATTCTAAAAGTATATCTTTATTTATTTACATTTATTTATATTTAAAATATAGTAGTATATATTCTAAAATAATATATTTATTTTAGGATAAATATCAGCAAATGAACACAGCATTGACATAAAGGACCTTTTCTGTTTTCTGACCACACTTTTAAGTCCAGGGCAGTGTGTAAATAGACAGTATTATAATAGTATATATTTTAAAAGTATATTTATATACTATTATAGTAGTATATATTCTAAAAGTATATATATGTATATAATGTATATAATGCATATAAAATATATATAATATATATCTTATAATATTCTATATATACACTATTATAGTAGTATACATGCTGAATATGTCTATTTATTTATTTATTTACATTTATTTATATTTAAAATATAGTAATATATATTCTAAAATTATATATTTATTTTAGAATAAATATTAGCAAATGAACACAGCATCAATATGAAGGATTTTTTTTGTTTGTTTTCTGGCCACACTTTGAAGTCCAAGGTGGTGTGGCAGGGTTTGCAGCTGTCCCCTGTCTGTGGTATTTAGTCAGGGATATTTAGTCCCTGAGTAAGAAGAGTTTGCTGGGTCTTGGTTCTGTTTGCTCTTCTTCACAGAGATGCCAGCAGGGAGTGGGAGAAGGTTGGATTCATTCACTTGTCTCTCCACCTCCCACATCCCCCCCACCCCTAGCAAAGTACTGTACAATTTTTTAGAAAGAAAATGTGATTGAGAGATCTGCCACATGCTCCTCTGTATTTCCCAGCTTTTCCTTCGCTGCTTTTCAGTGCTTTCAGCCCCTCCCACACAATCCAAGTCGTACCTTGGCTCTTCCCAGCAAACCTTTTAGAGGAGAAAGGCTCATGCCCTGTGTGTGATGTGTTGAGGCAGAAATGAGGCAGAAATGAGCCACAGTCCACAGCCAGAGCCAGGCTTAACCTGCCTGGGAGTAAGGGGAGAGCTGTGAGTGAAGGATTCTCTGCCACAGCACTGGTTTAATGCAGCTAAAATTCCCAGCTGCAGTTACTGTGTGGTATTTACAGGTGCGTGGGTTGTGCTTCACTGGCAAAATGCTGTCAATAAATACACACCTTTCTCCTATTCCAACACTGGGCTGTGGCATCTCGCCCTGGACACAGGCTTTCCTGCTCCTCATGCATTACTTTATGCATTTCCTTCCCCTGGAGAAAATAACAGCACAGTTCTTCCCCCGGTGCTGCCCACAGCCAGGAGTGGCCAGTGGTGGGAAGCCCCTGGGACTATCTCTCAAGTTACATCCAGCTGCATAGAACCAGCAAGGAATTCTGCAGTCAGCCCACTGAAAATTCAAAGATTTCCTGTGCTTTTTAATCAAATTCTTTCGATACAGAAGTTCCAAAAGTATTGAAGAAAAGGAAGCTGTGTTTACAGCTGTGTTGTGTGATAAAAGCAAAAATGCAGCAAAAGCTGAGATTGAGGATAGTCCACAGAGCCTCCTAATTCAGTTTTGCAGGCACTGCTGTTCTCCTGTTCCCTTCAGCAGCATGTGCATTTTAAAGGAACCACCCAGTTTATCCTTTGTCTACTAAATCTTTCAAGAAGTATGCTCCATCCATGATACCAGTTTCATAAATTATTGCACTGTGCAGAAGATGCTCAAGTGTCTCATCTGACCAGCTTTCAGTGCCTCGCTGGGTCCAAAAGCAAGCCAGTCACTAAGCAAGGAAAGCCTCAGTTTTACATTAATTTTCACCTTACTTTACAAAAGCTAAATGGTAATGCCATGTCTTTTGTATATCTCCAGTGTAAAAGACCCTCAGAGGGAGGGTGGGAATATTTTTGTCATGGTTGAAAAATCAGGTTTACTGGGCAAGGACCTTGTGTTTGTGGGCGGCCATGTAACCTCAGTCTCTGTTGCCCATCTGTAAACTGGATTTAATGTTCCTACAGCTCACTGGGTGGGGGGGCAGGCTTTGATTAACGTGTGATTGCCTTATACAAATGCAACTGCTGTCACTGCTTGGTTTTATTAGCCACTATCAGTAGAATATGAGGAGGAAACATGTAGCAGAATAATGTGCAACCAGGGTGAGCACTCTCCTTTTTGGCCATCTCCTTTTTGACTATCTTATAATTTATTTTCAGACTTGTCACCATGCATGCATATTTAAAATAAAACTCTACTTACACTGTAGTGCTATAGAAATCAAATAATTTGGTATAGAGGTTGACATGCAGATGAAACACCGATTTTTAAAGGGAAAATACACATAAATATAATTAAATGCCTTGAGCAAATTTGTATTTTATTTAGGAAATTTTCATAAGAAAAAGAATCCATTCCAATTTAAAGAATCCAACATATTGAAAGTCTGATCTTTACAGAAATTGTGACACACGGGGAAGAAAGCAGTAACGAAATGTAAAATGTTGTGCCTTTAATACGTCAAATAAGCATTATTTATATAATTTCTGTTGCATTAAGGTTTTCAAAATACAAGTATTTGGAACATTAGAAGAATATTATGGTAGATAATTATTTTTCTCTCTAGAAGAGTGTCAGGGAAGTGCTTTATTTGCGTGAGTAAACACGGATCAGTCAGGGAAAAGACAGCATTTTGAAATGCGCGATGCAAAACGAATTTATCTTTTTTTTTTCTCCATGTTTTTTTTCTCTCTCTCTCTCTCTCTCTCTCTCTCTCTTCCCTCTCTCTCCCCTCCTGAAAACCTCCTGCCACAGCGGCTGCATTTGCCTCCAGACTTGTCAGACACAGTGAGCCGCGCGAGCAAACAGGATCTGGCAGGATCCGCCAAACTGCTGAGCTCAGGATGTGGCGCCATGGCCATCGGCAAGAAGCACCTGGACTTCTAGTGATTTCTGCTTAGCAGCTTCACTCACATTCATCTGACACTCTCATTAGGAGTGTTAATGACTTATATAAATATTTTTCTTAATGATTTGACCCAGCAGTCTTTAAAAATACGTGTTGTCATATGATGCCTTCCTTCTTTTTTCATTTTTTCTTTTTTTTTTTTGTGTTTGTTCTGGTTTCTTTGTACTAAATTTGGTTTTGTTTGGGTTTTGCTTTTCATTAAAGCTTCTGTTATGTTGGGTCCTGCCATTGTTCTGCTCCATTGGAAACAGGTAGTATTTTGTTCCTTTACTTAAAATAAAAAATCGCAATTACCCTTTCATTTCTATTTTTTTTACATTAAAAATAAAGGGATACTTTTTCCCAAAAGAATTTTTATATGCTTACATGTAATATTTTGTATGAATAATGGGTTTATTGAAATAAAGGAATGGAACTAAGCAATTTGTTGTCATGTGTTATTCAAACAGCAAACTACACATTTCATTTCTGTAATTGAAACACCATTCTTAAATATGTATTAATAAATTTATAATATATAAGATCATTTTTATTCTAATATGCCAGTAATTGAGGATGGGGGTGTTTAAATCTAAATATATTATACATAATTACTTAGCCTTATGGCTTAGTACATGCATTAAAATGCACTTAAATGGAATTTCCTAACCAGAGAAGAAAGAATTGATTTCCTTATGTAGTTCAAAACAGTAATCCTAAACAATTGAAGTCAGCGCTATGAAATTATGTCAACAGACATAATTCAAGATGGAAATTCAAACCGACAGCTACATTAATGCTGGGAAACCAGAAGAGTGCATTTGAGCTGGGGGAAGGATATCACAGCGAGCTGGTCTAAAGCAGGGCAGAATGCACAAGCAATTCAGGCTTTTGTACCCTCACATGCACAATTTGTGAACTCCCAACTGTTCTCTGTGTATCCCTGTGTCTCTCCCATCAAACAAAGGAACAGTGAAGCAAAGCTGACCTGGGAGTTAAAGTGGTTTGCATTCTTTCTTCTGATGCTGACTTCCATTTTGAAAGGTAATATCTTCTTCTCTGCAGAACTTCCAAGCCACCCAGCTGTAAGATTGCATTACAGTTTCAAAATTTAGTCTTTATAATAGTGTATTACATGGCTGGAGTGAAATTGAGTCTTCAAAGAACATGTTAATAGGATGCAATAATGGTAACATATTTTGATGGGTTTGGAACCAAGACTTGGGGAAGTGGTTTGCTTTTTTTTTTTTTTTTTTTCCCTTCTGGAATCCAGGTTCTACTTTATTTTTTTCTTGACAAGTCTGTGTAAAACAAAGACATAGCTTTTAAAACTGTCTAACTAATATGATGAATGTCAATCACTTAAAAAACTCCACTGTAGCATAAACACATACTGTATACAGCTTTTATTCTGAATTAGAATAATTGAATCAATGACAGTGATTTGCCAGGATGTCAAATCTATCCATCATATCCTGTCACTACCAGTTTATTTTTTGTGATCAAAATCAAAAAGACTACTATTTTGTCATCAGCTATTTCATTAGTAGTAACAATCAGGTTTTCTCTTCTATATTTTTTAGATATGCCTGTTGTATTTTTAATTTCTAAAGACACAAATCCTTTTAAAATCTTTTCAAAATAAAGTTTCAGAACTGAACTGTCAGTTTAGTGGAGAAAAAAGACATCTACTTTCCCATGCCAACATATTTAAAATATTATCATTGATGTCTCAAACATTTTTTCTCTTTTTGTATTATGTGTAACACCGAATGGAAGTTCTCATTAGATACATAATTGTGCCTTTTGAAAGTGTGAAATAATTTAAATACTTAGGATAAAGTGATTTTTAACAAAGGTGAAGTTTTACATAGTATGTCTTTTTAATGTAAATAACACAAAACACAGTATTTCTTTGTGGAATATAAAGTCACAAGGCATATAAATTGCTGCCAACATATTTAAATAGGTCATTGACTTAACATACAGAGGAGAAAATATTATTAAAGTCACAGTGCCATTTCTAGCTAAGATGTTACCTGATAATTGTTAGTGTGCACACCATGAGTGCATCTGCCTGTATTTGTGCCCTGTGCATCTGTAAAATTTCAGTTTCCAAAGCTTCAGCAGGGTAATATTAAAGCTGACAAACAGTTTGAGTAATAAAAGGAACTCCTTCTAAAAATCTGCATTAGTTTGTTTTTTTTCTGAGTCACTAAATGTGCTTTGTAAAGTAAGTTTTAGGGAATGCAGATGGTACAGTGTTGTTTACCTAAGGCAAAGACATGAGTGTTGGAAGATTTTTAGTTTTATAAAGATAGGGTAACTGAGAGGTGTTTTAAAATATTTTGTTCTATTATTAGTCTCGTAGAAGGGTGAGATATAAGAGATGTAATCCAGTTTAATCTCTCTCTTCACAATGTGGTCTCTATTCTTAAGTCTTAGTCATAGTCTTCTTAAGTCATAGTCTTCTTAATACACTTCATCTCGGTATTTATATACAGATACAAAAAACCATATGAACTTTCAATCAAGTTTTAAAAATCTTTACAAGTCCATTTTTCGCAATGGAGCAAAATTTCTTCTCTTCCAAAATCTCCTATCAGTTACAACTACATGTGACAGTGGCTTGGCTACTCCAGCAAGCTGAGAGGTGAGACAGGGTGTGCTCCCTGATAGCAGGGAAAGAGAGGGTAGATATGGGGTAGATAGAGGGCAGAGAAAATGTAGATACAGTGTGGATAGAGTGTGGGTACAATACAGATTCCAGTCATTGCAGCAGCAGCAGTTTTGACTTGGGAATCCAAAGAAATATTCTCCTGGTGATTTTCTGTGCCTTTTCCCCATGACCATTCTGTGCCTGTCAAGCTCTTGTTTACAAAACATCCTTTTCCAATTCTTTCAGTTCTGTCTTCCCTTGACTTGAAGGCAAATATTTAACCAAGGGGAGCAGCTCAGGTAATTGAAAATGGGCACAGCCTCCTCTGCCAGGCTGTGGCAATGTGCTCCCAGCTCCTTTTGGCATCTCCAGAGGCCCCTTGCTGGCTTGGAGGGAAATCTGTGCCATCCTCACTCCTGCTCAGAGATTGCAGAATGAGGGGGTTTTGTTTGTTGCAGTTTTTTAAGCAGAACTTCCTACTTTTTAGCAGGCTACAAACTGAAACCACCAAACTCAGCAGGGAAACAATGGATTCATCCCAGAGAAGATGTTCCCAATTCAGCACAAGAACCTGATCTTTACAGAAATTGTGACACACAGTCAAGAAAGCAGTAATGAAATTTAAAACATTGTGCCTTTAATATGTCAAATAAGAATTCTTTATATAATTCCTGTTGTGTTGAGGTTTTCAAAATATAAGTATTTGGAACATGAGAAGAATATTATCATAGATAAGTCTTTTTCTCTGTTTGTAAAGACATTTCAAAAGCAATTTCCAGGGTGCAGCTGAATTCAATTTTCTGTAACAGTAGCTGGAAGCATCTGGAAATGGGCATTCAGCTACTCCAGATTTGATACCTGTGGTAGTACACAGCTGGTCTAATATTTAAATTTAATATTAAGTAGTGATGCTGCTCCAAACACAGCTTTTGGGAAAGTGCAAAAGCCTAACTCAAAATAATCTTTTGCCATGCCAGTATTGGAAGGTGAGCTGCTAACCAAGTTTCTCTGAAACCACAAGGTTGTAACACATCCCATTAAAAATGTGGCTTTACTACAAGAACTAAACTCAAACACACACTCACATGTACTAAACAAGTATTTCTCCAGGTATTTCATATCTTAGAAATTTAGTTAAAGTGTTCTTCTTCTTTTACCTGTGCTGGAGAAATATCATAGCTACAGAGCACAACAGAAATAGAACAGAAGATGCTTTTATGCCTTTAAGAGATGGTGGAAGCAAGTAGTAACCCCCATGCCATCTCTTGGGATTTCTGTTTTCTCTTGTGGGCTACATGAGTGCAGGAACTGCCTACATTTCTTTTTCTAATCACACTGAGGACATGATAGTGCTTATTCAATAATAAATGTACCTGTGTAGGAGAAAAAAATGAAAGTGAATCCTCTTCATCTTAGGGAAAAAAGGCATCTCACATGGTGGGGACATAAGAAAACAAAAATTCCACCACTCTTTTCTTTTCAGGTTCTATTTAATATAAGGCAATGTCAGATTGTTTTCTTTTTCCCCAAAAAATGAGAAAAAAACCCCTGCATTTCAGCACCTGAGTAGATGGAATTTCAGGACTGTTGGGCATCAAGCATCCCACAGCATCTGCTGAAAACTTTGCTGCTTTATATACTCTGAAAGTTATCAGGCACATCGAACTAATTTACAGACCTCCTGTTCATATCAAAACAAGGACACCTTTTATGTTTTAAGCATTTTATTGCATGAGGATTTTCTGGACCTGCAGAACTTAATCTGTCTTCCAGGGAAGTCAGTGATAATTTAGACCAGGAGCAACCTGGTAGGATAAGGTCCAGAAGATCTTTTACAATTTAGCAGATCTAGAGAATTTTTAACTGTATATTCCTCTATATATTAAAAAAAATGTATTTTAATATCTCCTGGCATTGAAGATAAATGTAAACCCCAGAATATAGCAAGATTTAAAAAAAAAAAAGTCTCTGTGCTGGCAGAGTTTGAGCCTGAATGTTCATAGCCTCATAATCTTCTCAGCACTTAGAGTACCAGAGGTATTCTCTTAGAAGTCTTCAAATGGGTGAATTTTGGTGCACCTTCAGATCCTTCTTTTGAAGTCAGGTTGAAGCAGAGGCACTAAAGAAAGCTCTTGCTGGAATTTCATGAGGCTGGACTCAGGGAAGAACAGAAAGGATGAATAGATTGAATTTAGATATGAAATCAAGCAGTTTTCAGTGCCTATATTCTGAGATAGTTTATTTTGTGGAGAAAAAGCTGTAAACCTGTTAAAAATATATTGCTTGAATGAAACTTTTCAGCAGTTCTTAGAATGCATTTATTTAATGCAAACCAAGTCAGAGCTTCTACTCATAGGCCAGGGCTGCTTGTGCAGGGCATCATTCTTGCATGGCAACAAAACAAATCTGGCTTCCTGACCTGTTTTAAATCAGGACAGGGATTCTTCTAGCAGCGCTTGACACCAGTTCTAGCTCCACTGTCTGCAGCTCTCAGACACAGGTGGAAACCACAGCTGTAGCACTTCATTCCTGACCAGGGAAGTTTCAGAGCATCCCTTTCCTTCCTAGGCACATTCAGCATCTCCGTGGATCCAGCAGGTGAATTTGGCAGACACAAAGTTCCTCAGCTGTGCAATGAAACTCCTGCCACCAGCATGGCCTTGCGCTGGGAAAGGTGAGCTAATCTCAGGAACACAGGATGGGTCAGGGACCACAGGGAGTCAGCAGGTCCAGCCTCCCTGCCCAAGCAGGGCCATCCCAGAGCACTGGATGGGTCTGGAA